CTACACCAATAGCTCCTTCCACATAATTCACAGTACTCATCTCCACCCAGAGCATGAGGAAGCTGAGGGAGCTGAGGAGGAAGCTGCTCCTGCACTTATTCTTGCACCTACTCTGATCGACCAGCACTCACAACTGGATCAGTTGGTGGAGCAATTTTACTAGGGGAAGGCCAGGTTCAACTCTTATATTGCTGCATAGGAGCATCAACATGCAGAGGATGTCACTAGATTTGATGTGTACATGACTCACCAACTGTAACTGCACGACCAGGACATGGCCTGGTTTGGAGAGTAGTTTGATGCTATTTCTGATTTCTTTTAGCCGCCACCACCACATCCTTCTGATGATTATGGCTCTTCATACTTGTATGTTATTTTCCTTGTGATATTTTCTGTGATGTTGTTTTCCTTTTGTATTTTTTATTCTTTTTTTTTCTAGTTTTCTCCTCCTTTTTGTGATGTTAAAAGAGGGAGAAGTGGTAGTGTTTAGGTTGTTTCATTGTACTATTATTTTCTACTTTTGTTTAGTGTGTGCACAATCTATTTTATTTTAGTAAAATTTGAATGTTTTCCTTCACATTATGTTTCAATTAACTGTTTAAGTTGAATTTTCTACCAAATGTTTTCCATCATCAAAAAAGGGGAGATTGTTGAAAATCTAGATTCATAGATTATAATTTATATGATAGCAAACATTTCTTACACTTCTATTTTTTTATGATTGCCCTACTTACTAACATTTCAGGTCTACAAGGTTAATTGAAAATAAAGATAGTTCCTAATTGTGTAGATTAGTACTGAGTCAGTCTATAAGTGTATGTCAAGTGTTATTACCTTTTCTTGAGTCAAATGTAACAAAATGGGTCATGATGCTAAGTAACCTTGCACACACACTCCAGGGGGAAAAATATGTCTATTTTTACAGTTTTTTTATTTCTGATCATATCATCTGGGATGATCCTAAATTGTTCTGGATGATCAGTTAAAAATAAAAATCCTAATTAGTGTATCTTGGTTAAGGCATCCAAAATTAAGCAAATCATCATGGATGATATTAGCATCATCCTGGATGATATGCTCAAATTAGAAAGAATCAGCTGCAAACTCTTTTAGGAATGTTATTATTTTTGTATATCATCCAGGACATCATCCTGGATTATGTATTACAATTATACCTAAATTAGTTAAATGATTAAGGAAAGCAATTAAGATTTGATTGATCGATCATATCATTCAGGACGAGCACAAGATCATCTTAGATGATCAGCTAAATAAATTATAGTTTCTTCCTCGATGACCAGAATGATATTCTAAATGATATGCATTTGAACTAATTATACAAGATGATAAAAAAATCATCCTAGATGATCAGTTATTTTTTCATCATCCAATATAAAAATTCTAGCCAAACAGGGTAATGGTCTTGATGATTCTTGATATTTTTAAACTGATCGTACAGGATGATGTCCTATCATACTGGATGATCTGAACAAATAGATCATCTAATTTTCTGGCCTCCCCCAAATCATCCTAGCAGATTAAGCCGAATTTATACTGATCGTAAAGGATGATATGCACGATCTTTATCAGTTTGTTGCAATTTAGGGAAAATTTGAAGCCCTTCTATATAAGACATCTTATTTACAAAAGATTAGATCTTTTGGTGCTATCCTGAGTTTAGAGAGCCAAGAGGAGAGGGAAAGTTTGGGAGAGAGAGAGAGAGGATCTTGTGAGGGGGAGTTTATGAGGGGTTTCACAAAGGTTGCTCCAAGCAAGGATCCAAGTCGTCTTCTCTAGTTATCATCCCTGGTTCCTTAGAGGTTTTAGAGAGGTCAACTTCAACGATTAATTAAGGTTCTCTACCTTTTTCAGGAGGAAGCAAAAGGAATCAGGTTCTCTGCCTGCTTTAGGAGGAAGCAAAAGAAGTTGGGTTCTCTGCCTCCCCAGGGTTGGTGGAAAGGAGTTTTATTTAGGCTTCTGCACCTCATTGTGGGGGCTAAAGGAGAGACACTGACTTTAGTGCAATACCTGGAGGAGAGGCTCAGGGGAGTGAGGTAGGTCAAGTCGACCTAACCACTATAAAATATGGTGTGCACTTTCTTATTTGCTTTTTCGCATTTAATTTCTGCACTTTATTTTCTGGTGAATGATTAATTGATTTAAATTATGATTTCTATTTGAGAATTTTTAAGACACCAATTCACCCCACCTCTTGGTTAGTCTCGGGCTAGTTTATAAGGGCTTAACATCCATAATGAACTTTCATGAATCACAAAAGTTATTCCAAACAAGGTATTTGTTATCTTTTTCGAGTTTCTCCTCTGGTTCCTTGGTGATTCTAGGGAGATCTTCTTCAATATTAGATCCATATTCTCTACCTACTCCAAGAGGGACTAAAAGGATTTTTGGGTTTTTTTTCATCACTAATGGGTGAAAAACGATTTTCAAGTTCTCTGCCTACTCCAAGAGGGAGTAAAAAGATTTAACATTCTCTACCTCACCATGTCGATGGATAGATTTTGTAAGGGCTTCTCTACCTTGCTGTGGGGGAAAAATGAGAGTCACTTCCATTTAGTGCAATACTTAAAGAGGGAGTCTCCAAGGAGTGGACAAAGGTCAGATTTGACTGAATCATTATAAATTTCAATGTGTTCTTTCTTATTACTTTTATTGCATTTTATTTTCACACTTTTTTGTGATTTGTTTTGTGATTAAAAATTTTAATTATATTATTATCGTGAAAATTATTTTTTCTTCCTCATCAAGGGTTATTGTTTTGTTTTAAAATATTTAAAAAGATCATAATATTTTTTTATAAGATTTTTTAAAATTACCAATTCACCCCCCTCTTGGTTAGCCTCGGGCTAATTATTTAGGGTTTAACACCCCTCACGAACTTTCATAAGTGACATCACGTTATAACAAAAGATCTCTAAAGGAGTTTTTAATGCAGTGTTCCTCTCATCTTTATGTGCCATCCTTATTTTATTATAGCTAGATGACCCATCCGTAAAAGTGAAAATAACATGCAAAGAATCAATTCCCACATTGAGCTCAGGTATGGGTAAATGAAACAAATCCTTGGAACTCCTTACTTAGATCCTTCTAATCAACACAGATCCAAATTTGCAATTTTTCTTTCAAACTACTAGAATGTTTGCTACATAAGAGGAATATTTTCATGTTAAATAAATCTAGTATTTCCCAATTTCTTGATTCCATAAATGGCTTGTTGCTTGATATCCTGATGTATTCTTTAGGGAGCTTGCTTGGTAGGAATGGCATAATATCTAATTTTAAGTTTATAAACTTTTATGTTAGTGGACAATCCTAACATTTTGCCATATGCCTAGGCAAATTTTTCCCTAAACTTAGAGAGAAGTTGAATTAGATCCTTTCATTCATCTTTATCATAGAGATGATGAATATAGATAGGGCGAGGGTCATCTTTTGATCCAAAGTTAATCTCTTTTAATTCATCTATTGTTAATTTAATTTCTTCTTCAAATTTAGGAGGTGCTTACTAAATTTGAAGTTCATCAAGACCATCTAATATCTCTAAAGAAAGCATGTTGAGATGGTTCATAATTTCTATAGGGACCTTCTCATATTAAAGATGATTTGTTATCGCAAGATAATGCTCATCATAATCAAATGAACTAACAGTACCAAAGCTGATACTAGTACACATATTTCTTTTATCTTTTGCATGATAGAGGCTCTTGTGGTATTTGGCATACCCTTGGTTCATTAACACAATATGAGACCTTTAGAGACATAATTCTTTGTGCACATAAGAAAGTAGCTAAGGGGTAATTCCATTAATTCATTGAAAATAGCCTCCCCAAGGATTACATCATCTTCCTTCCTTGAGGTGTAGAATCCACGAAAAACTTCTAGACATTTCTAACTTTACCATCTAAAATAGGAAAGTCCTTAATAACTAACCCTGCAACCTGCCAGCAGATAGTGGGGTCAAGTTTAAGGCTTTAATTCTCCTGCTTAATTTTTTATACATAATTTATTAAAGCTCATGATTTTAAACTTTTAGATTATCATCCTCTAAATTACTATCTTGTTCTAAAGCAAAATCAAAATTTGGAGGATGATTTATCTTTTTATAATCAAAAGAAATTCTTACATCCCATACTTTCGAGTCATCATCCGGCCTAGACTCCAAATCAATGTATATTAGGGATGTTTAATTTCAAGTTAAGATCTACCTTGACCATGCGCTCTTTGGGCCATCCTCCCACCTCTTTGACTGAAAATATTTGGAGGTTTAAAGATCACACCCTCAATGTCGTTTTCATTATTTAATGATTTTCTTTCTTTATTTTTCTCTTTTTCTCCTTCATTTCCTTGGATTTTTTTTTTAAGTTTTCTTCGCTAATTTTCTCCACTTTAATTAATATATCATTTAAAGGATAGCTAGTTTACCCTTTGGGTGTGTAGTATACATTATCTTTGTAGATCTCAATCTCATGAATAGAGAATAGTTGAAGATCACCCTTAATCATGTATTCAATTCAATCTCTCTAGTACTTGATGCAATTTTGTAGGGAAGATGGAACCATCCTATACTCATGGATCAAGAGCCTACCTTAAAGTGAAGGGTATCCTTAGACCAATAATGTGAAATTCAGCTTTTATTATCAACTCTCATTTCTATAAAAGGTGTGTGATTGAATTTAAATTCTTCTTGCCCTTATCATTGCACCCTCATAACACCATTTTATCAGTGCTGAGCTTATATGTGTCCATTTTAAGGTCTGTGACAGTCTTTTCATTCATCACTTTGACAAATGCAATAGGATATACAAGGAATATTTTTTTTTGGGTAAAGTTGGGGCCTAGGACCGTATCATTGATGAAAAAGAGTTACAAAAAGAAAGTAAAAGGTTGTCAGCCAACAGATTGAGAAGACAACCAAGACCTATCAGCAAAAAAAAGGCTGCTTAACAACAAAAAACAAGAGTAAAATAATGGAAAAAAAGGACTCAGAAATGCAATATCAGTGTTGAAGTGGGACTCTCAGCGGCCGCAAAACTCATCCAGAAGGAAGAAAAACTCCCCTGGTTGCCAAAATGGCCGTCCAAGGGGATCATATAATTATTGCTATCATCATCGTCCTTCAAAAAGGCAGGTCCTGGTTGCCAAAGAAGACCCTCCAGGAGATGCACATTCTTGGTTAGCAGCAGATAACAGGCAATCTGGGCATAGAAGAACATAATGTGCAGCCCGGTCAGGAACCTTAACCAAAGAAACCAAACAGACCCCATCAAAATAGAGTGTGAGAAGATCATTTCAGCTTGGAGGTCTTGAAGCACACAGCACGTTTAATATTGGCTAAAATGGTAGAATGACAATCAACAGAGTTTCCAAAAATCCGATCATTCCAGGCTCTCCATATATAGTAGACTGTGGCACAGAGGAGCAAAAAGCAATAATTCTTTCTACTAATATCCGTTTCCCTGTCATCAATATGACAGAAAACTTGTCCAAGGTTCGGACGAAAGAGCATGCTGGTCATACAAGGAAAGACCTTTTTAAGAATTTGAAAAGTGTAATTGCATTCAAAAAAGAGGTGGTTGTGATTTTCCTCATAGAGATGGCAGAAAGAACAAATCGGATTCACAAGAATTCCCCAGGTAAGAAGAATGTCAACAGTCTTAAGTTTATGTTTAAAAGCCATCCAGCAGCAAGTCGAAAAATGAAGAGCAAAGTGTTTGTGCCAAACATGTTTAAACCAAGGAACAAACGGGCAATCAGAGAAGTATGACTTAATAAACGATTTAAAATTCGGTTTTTCTTTGTTGTGCCAGCCACAATTGGCCAATGAACTAGTAATAGGGATAGCTTTGATGATAGCAGCCAGATTAGGAGGAATGGAAGGGGGAAGATTCCAGTTCCCAGTAGAAATAAGGGAAGAAACAGCCAGGTTTTGAGGAGTAATCAAATGATCCAGGTTTTTAGATTTCAACCGTTCAGCCACAGAAGAGCTTGAGCACCAAGGCTCCCAAAAAAAGGACAGGGAGGAGCTATCATTGATATTGAATTTGAAGGTTTCAGGAAGCTTTCTAGCCACCTCACAGAGGAATTTCCAATAAACCGTGGACCTCTTACAGCCAGTATTCCAAAAAGACACATAATTCTCCTTCCACCAAGTGTATAGATAACTTTTGATGTTGTAATACCTCCAAATGAGAGAGCAGCCAAAAGCATAGTATAGGGATTCAATGGTGGTTATGCCAAGACCCCCAGAAGGTTTGGGCATACAGGTATTCTTCCAAGAGATGGTGTGAAGTTTCTTCTTGTGGGTGTCTCCAAAAAATAGAAATTTGGAGCAAATGCTATTTATAATCTTGCTGCAACCCTTCGGAATGATAGTGCTTCTAACCTAGTAAGCCAAAATATTATAAATAGTGTGCTTGAGATATTGTAATCTCCCGGCCATAGTGAGGTTTTTTGCTTTCCAACCATCAAGAGAACATTGTATTTTATGAATAAGAGGCTGGAAAACAGCTTTTTTCAGACATTTACAATAGATAGGAATGCCCAAATATTTGATGGGGGAATAAACAATAGGGATATTCAAAAGGTCAGAAATCCTGTCATCATCCTCCACATTATTGGAGAAAATAATGGTGCTTTTGGAGCTGTTCACCTTAAGGCCTGAAAAGCCAGCAAAATCAAGTAGGATTCGATTGAGAGTATGGGCATTGTCCAATGAAGCTCTGCCAAACACTAACAAATCATCAGCATAAAGAAGGTGTGAGATAGAAATAGTACCCGAACCAATTCCAAGGAATGAATTGTTGCTGACAGCTTCTTCAAACAGAATGGACAGGCTATCCATAACCCAACAAAAGAGATACGGAGATAGGGGACAGCCTTGTCTAAGGCCGGAGGAGGTATTGAAAAACCCCTCAAGCTCCCCATTAATAGAGACCGAAAAATATACATCAGTGATGCAGCCCTTGATCCAAGAAACAAACACAGGCGGGAAACCTTTGGCCAACATACGATTAAGTAGAAAATTCCTCGAGACAGTATCAAAAGCTTTATGGATATCGTATTTGGCACAAAAGGATTTAATATTTCCTCTAGTATTGAAATCCATAAGCAAATCAGATGCTAACAGAATGTTATCAGAAATAATCTTGTCTTGGATATAGCCCGATTGACTAGGGTGTATAATGTAGGGCATAACATCTTTCATCCTGTTAGCAAGAATTTTAGCAATAATTTTATAGAAAGTGTTGCATAATGAGATAGGTCTGTAATTAGAAATGTTACTGGCATGAGGCTTTTTAGGGATAAGAACTAAGGCCGTAGCCTTAGCCTGCTTAGGAAGGTAACCAGTAGAGAAAAAAGTCATAATTCCCTCACACACCTGCTTGCTAATGATGTTCCAACATTTTTTGTAAAATTCAAAAGTATACCCGTCTGGTCCAGGGGCCGAATGATTAGGGGAGGAGAAGACCACATGTTTAATTTCATCCACGGTAATGGGAGCAACAAGTTGGAGAATAAGATGTTCAAGAAGCTTGTTGTATATAGGCAAGAGACTACCTTGATTATGAGCAGGAGGTGGGGTGTTGAACGGAGATTGGAAATGCTGAATGATAGCATTAGAAATCTCATATTTAGAGGAGAAAGTGCCAGAATTGGTGGAGATGACTTTGATCAAGTTAATGTTATGTCTAAAATTAATACGAGAATACAGAAATTTGAGGTCATCCTCCCCAGATGACAGCCATTTAGCTTTAGCCCGTTGAATAATCCATTCAGTCCAATTTGCATTTCTCTCGGCAAGCTTATGATTAATGTCAGTTAAAGCCAAATTCAGATCTTGATCAAGCGGATAAGTCTAAAGCTGAGAAATAATGGAACTTTGGCTTTGGGTTAACTCATCAATATCTCTCTTGATGGAATTAGAGGAGGACCAAGTTTTGGACTTGATAGTGTGCTTGAGGGTTTTAAGCTTCTGGTAGAAGGAGTGTATAGGGCTGCTGTGATATCTTTGTGAAAAAATGGAAATAAGCTCATTCCAAAAGTCTGGATTTAGAGTCCAGTAGTTCTTGAATTGAAACCTCCTTTTATTTAGTGGGGTAGCTTCTTGTTGCAGGATAATAGGAGAGTGGTCAGAAATTAGGGGGTCCTCCACAATGTAAAAAGAGTTCGGGTAGGAATCCAGCCATGCATCATTGACAAGCATCCTATCAAGCTTGATGTGGATGGGGTTATCAGCCCTTTGGTTGTACCAGGTGAAAAAATGACCCACCGAGGACAGGTCATGGACCCCGGTTTTAAAAATGAAGTTCTGAAAATCCAGAATTTTACTGTTGTGAAGCAAAGAGCCACCCGCTTTTTCGTTGGAATGTCTGCAGCAATTGAAATCACCTAGAATGATCCAAGGAATAGAAATAGAGTTGGCTATATCAAAAATGTCTTTCCAGAGAGCTTTTCGATCCTCCATGGAGTTAGCGGCATACACCACAGTGACATAGAAATTATTGTTAAGGTTTGAAGAGATCAAACCGTGAATTAGCTGACTAGAAGTAACAAGCGGCTTGAAAGTCACCTTAAGTGAGTTCCATTTTATCCAAATCCTGCCCGGTGATGCACAGTTGAAGTTATCGTAAGATCCTTCATGGGGAAAAATAGAGTGGGTGGAGAGGAACCAGTTGTTGGTGGAGTTAGCAAGAGAGATACAAGTTTCAAGAATGAAAAACAGGTCAAGATTAAATTTTTTGACAAGGTCTTTACAGCACAGGGTTTTGTCCGGGGAGTTGAAGCCCCGAGTGTTCCAGGCTGCGAAAGAAGGGGGGCTGGTCATTGGGACTTGGAAGTGGGGGTGGTAGCCTTTTTGGCTTCTTTAGATCTTGTGGATTTTGTGGAGGTAGGCACATTGGCATTCATATGTTTTTCATTGCCCATGGAGGAACAGCAAGCAGTATTACCACCTGGAGCCGCTCCCAGAGAATGAAGGGTAGCTTGGCCCCCAACACCATCAGACGAAGAAATTGTGGTGTTTGCAGGATCAGGGCAATGGGCAGCAAACGAATCACAATGGTCCGTCAGGATGTCAAATTTGTTGGTGATAGGAATGCTGTGAGATTTAGTGGGAGATTTAGTCGGAGTGGTAGAGGCGACATTGGATTTTCCTTTGGAATTAGATGGATTCGGGGAATGGGGAGGAGACTCAGTGGAAGGGGAGTTGAGATTGGGGACGATTGAGTGGTTGGTTGTGGAGTTGGAGATAGGAGCAATGGTATTATCGCTGGGGTTATTGGCTTTTTGGGTGGACAAGGTTTGGGGATGATGGGATGTCGATGGCGGTGGTGGGCGGGGGATGGTAAGGCGAGGAGGTGGGATGCGCGGATTGCGGCTGGAGCTTCTGCCGTGAGTTTTGGGGGGTTCGACTTGAGGGTGTTGAGGGTTAGGATTTAAGGGGCAAGCATTAGGGGAGTGCATGAAGGAATTGCAGAAGGAACATTTGGCTGGCTTCCAGTCGTAAAGGACTGTAAGGGAGGAGACTTTCCCGTCAATAGAGTAGAAGATCTCATCAGGTAGGGGGGAAGAGCTTCTAACCTGGACACACACCCGAGCAAAGGTGAGTCTGGTTTTTGCCGCCGTGAGGGCATCCACGACAAGAGGGATCCCGACGCAGCTCGCGATTCTGGAAATTACTTCCAGAGTCCAGCAGGAGAGAGGGAAATTCTTGATTTTTATCCAGAGGGGGATCGACGGAAATTCTTCGCGAACAATGACGAAGTCCGGTGTCCACTTCTGTAGTATGAAGGGTTTTTCGAAGAAGAACCGTGGTCCCCCGGACCAAGCCATGTCATAGTCTTCTCTGTTGTTAAATTTGAGAAGGAAGAATCCATCTTCCAAGGTCAGCAGGGAAAGGGAACCCTTAAGGGACCAGGTCTTTTTGATGGTAGAGAGTAAGGCTTCATAGTATGGTCTTCTTCCGATGGAGTATCCTACCAGCGAAAGTGCCCACTCCGGCGCTCCAGCATTGAACTGAGCTGAAGTGAAATGCACGGTGGCATTCTTGGTCGGGACGTGGGAGATTGACGAAGTGAACTCGTTCAAAACCAAAGGCTGAGTGGCGATGAGACTCTTCCAGTCTTTAGGGAAGCTAGCAGATGAGGAAGCATTGAAAGTGGGGGGAAGAAGTAAGGGCGGAGTGGTGGAGGACATCCCGGAGGAGATCCACCCCAAAGAGGCGTCGGGGGCGGCCAGAAATTGCAAAGGTGAAAACCCTAGCAGAGCAAAATCGCAACCCTCAACAAAAAATATAAAAAAAGAAAAGAAAATCACTAGTTTAATTAAATGTCTTCTCAAGCATCAAAGCTTGAAATGTAATTAACCATAGGGGCTTGCCCCTATGGGATGTCTGTACCCTAGAATAAAATAAACCCTATTCAACTAAATATTTAATGTACGAATCTCTATTAAATTATAAATTTTATCATTAAGTCTATAATAAAATTATATTTTTACCCTTTGGGGTAATATATCATCATTATTATGTTGTACTCGATGATAGAGTATGCAATTCGTTTAAGGATAACAAAATTTCTTCAACAGGATGAATATCAAGGAATGAGATGGGTTTAATTAATTTTCTTATAAATTGTCCGAGAGGTACCGCATTCATAAAGTCAATAGATGCTAGTTATTTTTCCAAAAATACTATGAAGATGGTCAAACTATGTTGTAAGAGTAAAGGACCTGTGAATTGTCCAAGAGGTACTGCATTCATGGAGTTAATGATGTTAAATTTAAGAGCATTTTGAAATTTTTTTTAAAAAATATTTTTAATTATAAGTTTTCTAAAAAAAATTATTAATTATTTCTTTCAATAAAATAATAATAATAATTCTAGTTTTTATTTAAAAAAAAAATTATTCATATTTTTTATAAAATATGATTGGTAAAAATATGTGTGACAAAGTTTAAAATACTATCTATTTGCATTTTATTTCTCTAAATCAATAAATATCATATTTTTATAAAATATGACAAATTTTTAAAATTAAAATTAAAAGTATTATTTCTTTTTTAATTAAAGAAGCAATTAATAAAATATTTTAAAAAAATTATAATTACTTAAAAATTATATTTAATAAATGTTTGATTATAAAATGACCAAAATATCATTATATTTAACACTATTAACTCTAATATTGGATGTTAGGACAAAAAAGTATCCCGTTTTAAAGATTTGAGGCTAAATTTATCCCTCAAAAGAGTTGGAGACTATTTTGGTATATAACAAGGAGTCGAGGGATCCATTTTGTCCTTTTCTCTATTTTGTAAATACATTAAAATTATTAGTCCACATACTGTGATTCAGGTTGTTATTGATAATACATCTGAAAATGTACTTGCTAGTTTGCCATAACCTAAACCCATGTTATTTCATATAAAGAATGAATTTTGTCTTTAAAAAAAAAAGAATTGTCTTAAAATAAAATTTAAAGACATTACTAAAAAATTTTTGATGGACAAATATCCACACATTTATTGGACTCCTTATGCTAATTACTATTTGGATTTAATACTAGAAGACATTTTCAAAATTCAAAAGCTAAGGAAATGCTTTAAGAAAATGGTGGCGGGACACAATTCTATATATTTTAGGCCTCACTTGATTTAATGTGAAGACGCACATATCAAAGAGCATTTGTCAAACCTATCAAGACTCATTGTGTAACAGCTTTCTTAACTTTAAAGTACTTTCATCATTAATAATTGAATTTGAAGAAAATGTCTACTTGCGAAGAGTTCATTTTGGGTCCTTATACAAAAGAGAGAAAGACAAAACATTTTCTACATACCTTCTTGCAACAATAATTTTGGAACAGTATTGTGTGTTTCTTAAAAATAACTAATCTTTTGTTGAAGGTTCTTAGATTGGTCGGCCGAGAAAGGAAGCCCCTAATAACTTATATATATATATATATATATATATGAAGCAATGGATAGGGAAATAGAGGTAATTGTTGCAAGCTTTAATAACAATGATAAATATGATTAAATTTTTAAAATTATTGATAGATGATGGGAAGTGTAACTACACCGACCTTTACTTGGAGTGGCCACTTTTTAAATCCCGAATATTTATTCATTAATCTTAGTATTTCCAAAGATAAAGAAATAACTTATGGTCCTTATTCATGTATTGGAAGATTATCTAAAATATAGGTGAAGAAGACAATCGGTAATGAAATAAGTTATATATAAGAGGTGAAGGTCTATATGGTATTTCTCCACCTGTAAGACAAAGGATTACCCGATCTCCATGTATTATTAATTACATAAAATTGAGATTGATTTACAATTCTATAAAAATAGAAAATAAAATTTTTGTTTCTTTCTGATGATTGGTGGTTAGCATATGGATAATGGGCTCCACTTTCATAAAGTTTTGCTATCACAGTCCTTAGTCTAACTTGTAGTTCATTTGGATGTGAATGCAATTGAAGTTTATTCGAACATGTACGTATTTTTATAGAGCACGAGTTGCTTTATGTGCATGTTCATAGTATAATAATATATTGATGTTTTAATTGCAACATCATAATAAAAGAAGAAGCATAATGAATCATGTTCTCCTTAAAAAAATAGTTTATGTAAAATATAATAGGGCATTGATTCACACATGTTAATCATTATGATGTGATTGACCCTATTTCTTTGATCGATTTCGATGATGCAAATGAGTGGCTAATTGAAAAATTTGGACTATGAGTCTGATGAAGAAAATAAATTCATTGCCGGGGAAGAAGATTTGACATGGACTACTATTGCAAAAGCTGTTGGTGTTTATGACAAGCTACTATATTCAAGAGTGATCTAAAGGCAAAGAAAACTAATCTTCATGTAGGAGTGACATTATTACTATTGAGAATGAAAATGTGGAGGATGATGAAGAGGATTATAAAATAGGAGATAATATTGATGAAGATAATGTAGCTTTTTTTACCTCTTCTGATGATGATCCCAAGAAGAGTATATTAAATTTTTTCTCAAATCATTATGCTTTAAAAAATGATTGTAATGTTTTGAATTATGAGATATTCAGATGTTGTTTACTTAAACTTAGGCATGACTTTATTTTTCTTTCATTATTATGATAGTTTATTTTTTAGTTTAATGATAGTTTATATTAATACATATTTTTTATAATTATTTTTTATTTTGTGCAATGTTTAAAATGGCATGCTGCACCATGCCCTCTTTACCATTGCTCCCCGGTAAACTTTGCGCCGTGGTGCATCATTCGCCATTGACAAGTATAGGACTAAAGTGGCACAATCTAGCTTCAATCATTTAAAATAATTTGTAATCTCTGCCCCAGTTTTGGCCCTTCCAAACTTCAATTAGATAATCTAAATTGATTGTTTTTCCAACATATGAATTGGGGCTATTCTAAGTCAGGGTAGACATCCCATAACCCACTTCAATGAAAAACTTAATGACGACCAACAAAAGTACTCTAACTACGATAAAGAATTCTATGCAGTTGTGCATGTTATATAACATTGGAATCATCATCTCTTAGCACAATAATTTGTACTCTTTTAGGATCACGAGGCTCTTAAGCACCTACACAATCAAAATAAATTAAAAGGAAGACAAGCTAAGTGGATGAAGTACCTAGCTTCCTATCATATATGCTCTGGCACAAATTATGAAATAATGTAATCAAGTGGCTAACGCTTTAAGTAGGAGACTACTTTTAATCAATTCTTTACAACTCAAAATTGTGGGATTCAAAACCATACAAGAACTACACCAACAATATTTTGATTTAAAAAATATGGGTGGTATTTCAATGAGGACCCTATATATTTTTCATATTAATTATGATTATCAATTCTCTAGAAAAATACTATGCATACCTTAATGTATATTTAGAGAGGCCATTTTGTATGAACATCTTGATGATGGATTAGCAAGACAATTCAAAAGAGACAAAACATTAGCCATTGTCCAAAAAAAGTTCCATTTACCATTACTTGTCTGAGATGAAGATCGTTATGTAAAGAAGTGCAGGTATGTTATCTAGCTAAGACACTTCAATCGGGATTTGGTGCCTACATGACATTACTTACAACAACAAGAAGAATAATGATATCAAGCCTTTATCTCAATTGTGGGGTCGGCTACATGAATCCTTTTTCTCCATTGTGTCATGTTAAGAGTCAAATTCTCATTTAAATCTAATAAAGAAAAGTCATTTCTAATATTTTCTAACCAAGTCTTTTTAGGTCTACCTCTACCTTTCTTAACATAAGTCAAATCTAATGCATCAACTATCCTATCCCGTTCATTGGAAGGCTATTGTTTTATGTGAACAAATTATCTATGGTGACTCTCTCTAATCTTATCTTTCACCGAAGCTGCTACAACCTTTTCATTTAAATGCTCATTTTTTTACCATCTCTAATAGTACAACCACTATTCCACCTGAGCATTCTCAACTATGCAACACTTAACTTAATATCATGCTTCTTTTTTAATGGCCAACATTCTGCACAATAAACCTTTGCAAGTCTTACCACCATCTCATTGAATTTTCATGTAAGTTCGAGGGGGACTTTTCTATCACACGTCATTACTTGTTCCATAATTTTCATGGACTGATGTTAGTATGGACTTCGTGGTAGGCCTTTCCAACATATAATTTCATAAAGATTTTCTCACGGTTATTCTTGACTAATTTACAAAGATGGTGTATTTCATACCTAAGCACAAAACATTTGACCTTGCCTCAAAACATTAGATGCCACGTACTTGCCAATCTATTTTTCCAAGAGGTTGTAAAGTTACACAGTTTCATTAAAACCATCACATCATATCGAGATGTTAAATTTCTTAGTCACTTTTGGAAAACTGTATTGGGTAAACTTGCTACTAAATCACAATTTAGCTCCACTACACATCTTCAAACAGATGGTCAAATTCTTCCTTAAGTATAATGTGCTTACAATCAGTCCCATAGTCAAACCACAAGATGAAGCCCATTTGAAGTTGTATATGGTTGAAATCCTGCATCCCCTATTAATTTAGTGCCTCCTATCACACTTACAGATTGCCACTCCGATGCTGAATAACGAAATCAAGAACTAGAAAAACTCCATGAACTTATACAAGATCACATTAAGAAACAAAATATCAAATATTAATCAATTACCAACAAAAATAGAAAACATTGAACTTTATAAGGGGTGCTTTAGTCTAGATAAAGATGTGAAAGGAACGATTTGCACTAGTCCCTTATAACAAATTAAAACTAAAAGCTGATGGTCCTTCTCGCATTATCAAACACATCAACAATAATGCTTATCAACTAGAACTGCTCGGTGATTATCAAATTTTTGCTATGTTCAGCATTTTAGTCTTAGCTACTTATTATGAAGTATTGGCTTCCGATTATGACAAAGCCTCTTCAAGACAAGGACAATGATGCAGGCAGAGTTTGGATCAGTTTAGCAGCCAACTAGTCCTCCCCACATTTTCTTATTATTTTACTTTTTTCTTATTTTGTTTTTTTACTTATTCACTTATTTTTGTCCTGGGCATATAAATAGAAGATTTTAGTAAGGCTTTGTTTGGGCTAACTTTCTTTCTGATTCTTAAAAAAGCTTTTTAGTATAATTTTTTTAATTTTTGTACTAAAAAGCTATTTTATGAAGTAGTAAGAAAGTCATCCCAAACAAAGATCAAAAAAAATTTTAGGTTTTGCAAGAATAGCTAGAGCTGTTCTGTTCCCGTGTCCTGGATTATTTTTAGTGGTGGCCGACTCCATCTCCTTCCACCTGCTATTTTTTCATCCCAGGAAGATGTAAGAGCTCCAGCGCTGCCCCTTCCTCTCGCTAAGATGCTATCTGCCCTTTCTCTTCCCGTCTCTTATCCTTGCCTCTCCTATAGGTGGCCGTTTCTTTCTCCTTCCAGCAGTCATGAAGTGCGGTCCAACACCCAAGAAGGGTGTTGTTTTCTTCCAGCAGCTTACCTGTGGGCTTCTATGCCATCTCCAAATGATCAGACCACAAGTTCTTTCTTCCATAAGGCTGGTGTCCATTTCCTGGTCCTCCAAATAACTTCTACCCAATTTCAGATGCTGTCCCATTCTTCTAATTCAAGAAATATGCAACAAAGTTCCGTCTAACTCTTCTTTAAGCATTCAAAAAGATATGTCATTGCTAGTTCTAGGTAATTTGTCTTCTTTCTTTGTCTTGTACAACTATTCTGGTGTAACTGCCTCTTGTATGTATAAAAGCTGTGCATGGATACGAACTTATTATTCCTGTGAAAGCTTTCTCGCAAACCTCCACCAAAAAAAAGGAAAAAAAAAAAGCTAAAATCTTTTAGCAATATCCATGCTCTTGTTGTATTCTATGTTTTTTGCTCAAGGGATTTCGATCTCTTTCCTGATGGATATTACATTCCAGCAAATATTTTAGTATTAGGGATCTTCAATTTTGAAAGTTTTACATTAAATATTAGTTTTAATTGATATGTTATGCATTTCAATAAGCTTTAGAAACAGTTCTAATCATATTGCATGCTTTTACATGCTTTTATTTCCATTAAATTTAGGGTGCTTTCGTAGAGAGTTTTTTTTTTTTTTTTGCTATGAAATTGTAATATATAACTTGACTTTGGGCTCCTTTTGACAATTTTGTCTTGTTTTATGATATGCTATAACGAGTTGTGTTGTCAAGTAAAGTGATTGACAAGTTGGTGAAATTTTGTAAAATATTTTCTGCAAGTTCTGAGTTCTATTTATTTAGTAAAAAGGAACAATCATGATATTGCTGAGTTTATTAAATGATTGAATTTAATCTTATAATGAATTTAGTAGTATTATAATATAATATCCTAATGTCATCAATATAATAATACATAAAATAATTAGTTAATTTATTAATTCAAAAAGAGAGCTGAAATCCATGGAAGTGCTTTGCTGGAAGTTAACTAAACCACCATTCTAAACAAAAACATATTTTTAGCTTTCACGCAATGGGTTTTTTTCTGACACCCGATTTTCCATACACCCTACAATTGCTTGTTCTGTACAATGTAGCTTAACCATGCAGTAGAAAAGCTATGCACTGAGCTTTAGTTTGATTTTTTTTGTATTCCTTATTATTTATATAGTAGATTAGATATTAAGAAGGGTGAAAATATATGTATAAGTTAGCCATGCAAAGAGATAGGAGAACAAAGGATTTAGTTCAAGTTAAATGCATTAAGGATGAACATTAAGAAGTGCTTTTATAAGAAGAAGATTTTCAACAAAGGTGGATGTGATATTTTGGTAAGCTTTTAAATGAAGATTGTGATAATACGATTGCCTTTAGTGACCTTAATACCCTAAATGAAAATAATGGTTTTTTTATTTTATCGGCATGTTAGTAAAATTGATTTTAGAGAGACTTTAAAGAAAATGAAGTGTGGAAAAACTGTTGGACCTGATGATATTCCAAGAGAGGTATGTAAAGCTTAGGAGATGAAGGAATTTCTTGGCTTATGAAACTTTTTACCGCTTTTTTGAAGACTAAAAAGATGCCAAATGAGTGGAGTGTGTTGATTTCTTTTTTTAAGAATAAATGTGATGCACAAAAGTGAGAATTATAGAGGAATTAAGTTAACGTGTCATACTATAAAATTATGGTATAGAATTATTGGGCATAAGTTACAACGTGATATTAATGTTTCTTAAAATTAATTTAGATTCATGCTGGGTAGGTCTATGATGAAAGAGTGTCCTATGTCAGTTGGATTCCACCAAGGAACAATTTTAAGCCCATATATTTTTTCCTTTGTCATGGATGTTCTTACTAGACATTTGCAAGTGGATGTATCCCGGTGTATGTTTTTTGCTGAGGATGTTCTTCTTATTGATAAGACTAGAGAGGGAGTTGAATGTAAATTTCAATTATGGAGCTCAACCTTAGAGTTTAAAGGTTTTCATTACTGTTTTAAACTTAATATGGAATGTAATTTTAATTGTGATAAATCTAGTTGGGGGATCTTATCATTTATAAGAATATACATTTTAGATTTTTTTGTGTCTATTGTTCAAAGTGATGGTAAAATATATGTGCATATTATTAGTAAAATTCAGGTTGGATGGTTGAAGTGGAGGAATTCATAAGATGGTGGTGAGACCTGCAATGTTTTATGGTACAGAAGGGTGTCCATTTAAAGAGAAGCATAAAATTTAGTTAAGCATTGCAGAAATGAGAATGCTTTGGTGGATGAGTAAACAGAATGTTAAATGAGTATATATGTGAAAAGGTTGGAGTATCTCCAATGGCTTATAAGATTAGAGAGAGTTGCCTTGGATGGTTTGGTTACAGAAAATGTCAGCCTTTTGATGATCTGGTTAGGAGGTAGATGTAATAGATCTAGCTTATGCAAAGAAAGGTAGAGGTATACCTAAAAGACTTGGTTAGAAAATATTAGAAATTATCTTATGTTATTAGATTTAAATGAGAATTTGAGTCTTAATAGGACATAATAGATAAAAATGATTCATGTAGTTGATCCCACATAGGGGGATAAAGGCTTGATATTATTATTGTTTTTACTTTTTTCTTTTCAAGTGATATTGATGATTCTCAAAATCAATTTGCACCCATGCTGGGTAGATCTACTATGGAAGCTTTAACTTTATTAAGAGGTTTAATTGAGAAGTATAGAGAGTATAAGGAGGATCTGCATATGATATTTTATTGATATAGAGAAAGCTTAAAATAATGTTCCAAGAGAAGTGCTGTAGATAGTTCTAAAATAGAAATGGGTTAATAATGCTTATATTCAAGTCATTAAGGTTATGTATGCAAAAGTTGTTACTTGTGTTTAAACACAAGGTGGTTTGAAAAAGTATTTTCCTATTTCAGTTGAATTAAATCATGGTTTAGCTTCAAGCCCATATCTGTTTGCTTTAGTAATTGATGTTCTTACTAGACATTTGCAAAAGGAAGTACCCTAGTGTATGTTTTTTGCTAATGATATTCTTTTTGTTAATAAGACTTGAGAGTGATTTGAAAGTAAACTTGTATTAAGGAGGTCAACATTAGAGCCTAAATATTTTCATTTGAGTAGATCTAATACATAAAGTGCAATTTTAATAATAAATATATATAGTGGGGGATTGTGACTTTGGGTGATCAAGTAATTAATAAGAATACATGTTTTAGATATCTCGGGGTTATTGTTCAAAGTGATGGTGAAATAGATAGGGATATTATTAGTAGAATTTATGTTGGATGGTTTAAATAGAGGAATGCATCGTGTTTATTGTGTGATTTAAAAGTTCCCCTCAAACTTAAGGGAAATTCTATAAGATGGTGGCAAGACCTGCAATGCCTTATGGGACTTAATGTTGGCCATTAAAAGAGAAACATAAAATTAAGTGTTGCAGAGATTAGGATACTAAAGTGGATGAGTGGTTTCACTCTTAGAGACATAACGTGAACTGAGTATATACATGTTAAAGTTGGAGTAGCTGCAGTGGTAGATAAGAATAGAGAATCATCTTAGATGGTTTTGTCACATAAAACTTTGGCCTATCCGAGGACTCGGTTAGGAGGGTAGATATATTAGATTTAGCCTATGTTAAGAGAGGTAGAGGTAGGCCTAAAAATACTTGGTTAGAAAATATTAAAAATGATATTTTTTATTAGATTTAAATGAGAAATTGACTCTTAACAAGAGACAATCGAGAAAAAGTATTCATGTAACCGACCCCACGTAGTAGGATAAAGGCTTGATGATATTGTTGCGTTTTTTCTTTTCAATTAATTTTGTATTCTTGATACTTGCATGAACCTAAGTGATAGCTAATATAATATTAATTGCAAATTCATTTTATTTTTAGTATTGTAACTTGATCATAATCTTATATATGTTGCAAACCCTATTTTTTATATCATTTGGGTATATCTATGACCTGTTAATATCATATAAATACTCCTATAGAAGATATATATATATATATATATATATATATATATATTCAACCTAACCTATATTAATATGAAAATTACATGGCTTGTCATGATTCATATTACAATGATTGCTACATGTTTATGTCTCTACTTTTAACGAACAAAAATTCTAATGCTTTATTATATTGTTTGGTGATTTAAACAATTTATTTGATTAACACTACAGGTTTGAAAGAAAATGCATTAGATTCGACAGATGTTAAATTGTTGGGTTCTTCTATAAAATTTTAGCAAAACGTTCAAAATAATGCTTGATTTTGTCCTTAACATTTGAGCTGAGATCTAGTATATGTTGACACGTCATTGTTGGCAACCAATTGAACTACTACAAAACTTTAAGAAAAGAACTCATTAGTATGACAATTTTATAGGTTTGGGGAGTTTTTCCATAATTATTTTATGTTTAAGATGATTTATTGATGTTTTTGGGAGAGAATTAAAAGGAAATTAAAGTTTATTATCATGTGATGAGAAGTGCGAATAGATGTTCATGTTTGAATTGTGCTTGATTCATATTCGGTTTGTTTATACTTATCAAACTTTAAATAAACGAGCCTTATATAGCCTACTAACAAACAATCACCTAGAGGTGTTGACAAACATAATATATAGGGAGTGATTTCGATCTACCAAATGAGTCTGTTCACGAACAAACAAACTCATAAAATTATTCTTCTTATAACCAAACTTGTTCATGAACACTTTGATAAAAAAATACAACAAATATGGATAAATACTTCTTGTTTATGAACAAATTCTTTATAATAAAATAGTATAAGATAAAAAATGTAATTAATGTTTTATATATTAAGAATAACTTATTATAATAAAACTAAAAAAGTTATGTGAAATATATAAATAATGATTTAAGCTAAATAATTTGCCCTCTTGTTTATTTTTGACATATTCCAAAATTGCCACATTTGTGCAATTTTTGAATATAGCATGTCACTTTCTACACCAATAGCTGCTTGGTGCACGGGTACGGCTACGTGAATAGTTGATTGCATTTATGAAATAAAATATGCCTTAAGGTCAATTTATACTTAGGTTTTCTTTGATATAAATTTCCCACTAGATACATAAGTATATATATATGTCGATCAAGTAATAAAGTGATTGAGAGAGTATCGGTTCCACGAGGAAGTGTTTGCTAGATTGCAATCAAACTAGTACTATCTACTACAGACGCAAGGTTTATCCTACTGAACTAAAATCAAGGGTTTTGAATCTCTGCCAATTACAAAGAATGCAAAAGATAATGATATACCAATATATAAAATACATTCTAGACTAATGTCTATAAAAATAAAGTTTTTCTAATGGGACCTTTAGTTGTAGATGTGGATCAAATCATATGCATCTTTAGATTTATGTCAAGCTTCAAGGGGTGAAAAGGGAGGCTTATGACTTTTCTACCATTTTAATAACTTCATTAGAACTTAGAAGGTTTAAGACCTTATGGTATTTGAACGTTCCATTTTAATTCTCCTATTTATTTCAATATTCCTCCATTGTTACAATATATCCCACTAGATATTAACTATACACATGGCATTGTATGTATTAAAGTAAAAAACGAGAGATATTGAAAACATCGATAATTTAATTCAAGGAACAAGAGTCTACATTACTACTTGCATTGTGTTTACATCATTGGCCCAAAATTCAGAAATTAGGCAGACATAGATAAAAAAGAAAGCAAACACATTCATTTCAATCATAGAAGAAAAGATGCAGTAGAAACAATGCAGAAAAGATTCGCCAGGATAGTATAAATGAGCTTCTCCACAGTCCTTCCTCCTCCAATGGTATGCTTGTTTACACAAGAGAGGTTAAGATCTTTAATGAAAGTATATTGCACTTCTTTAGCTTCCCTTAGACTTTACTCTAAGGGGGCACTAAAGAGCTGCAATGAAAATCTACTGAAAGTGACATAACTCATCAACAAAAGAATTGAAAAAGTTATTTATAGTAAGTGCAGAAATGGCCTCAGGCACCGCGACACTTGAAATGGTGGTGCCGTGATATTATAAGATGAACTAGCTCTTTTGCACTGTTGGGCTTGCTCCACTGTGGAACTGCGTTGACTTGGTGTGTCTATTGGCTGAACCGGTGCGTAGCTCGGTTGATTTAGCACAGCTCCATTTTTCGTCAATCGCTTTGCTGCAACGCTGCAAAAATTGAGCACTGCAGCGCTCAAATGTGAAATTCGGTGCTGCGGTGTTATAAAGTATGGTGCTTTGGCACTAAAATTCTTAAGACTCAGGTGTTGCAACACATATTTTAGACTCTACAACACTAACTTGGACTCCACTGGGGTGCTTATTTTTTTGCTATTTTTCTCATGGCTCTGACATTGCAATTTTCTGATCTGGCGCTGAGGCGTTAAAAGCACTGTGATGCTGGTAGTTGGATCGTTGTGACGTTGGTTCAAGACTTGTGAATTTTTTCTCCTTCTCCTGAACATTTCCCACATAAGATAAACTAAAACACCACACTTTCACTGAATTTAAAGGTAAGAAATAATACAAAATTTACACTTAATACTACCACCGACTAGACCCCACAGCCACTACCCATCGATTGCTCGCCACCACCAACTGTTGCCTTATTGTTATTGCCACCGTTGCCTTTTTCCATCATTGCCGCACATCATATTTTAAAATGCATGCATTTTAAATGCATGATACAACAACAACAACAACAACAATAAGAACATCAAGCCTTTATCCCACTACGTGAGGTAGGCTATATGAATCTTTTTTCTCTATTGTGTCATGTTTATAATCAAATTCTCTTTAAATCAATAAAAAAATGGTCATTTCTAATATTTTCTAACAATTTCTTTTTAGGTCTACCTCTACCTTTCTTAACATAAGCCAAATTTAATATATCTACTCTCCTATCCGGGTCATCGAATGACCGGCATTTTATGTGATCAAATCATCTATGACAACTCTCTCTAATCTTATCTTCCATTGGAGATACTCCAACCTTTTCACGTATATGCTCATTTTGCATTATATCTATAAGAGTAAAGCCACTAATCCACTAAGCATCCTCATCTCTGTAACACTTAACTTAATTTTATGCTTCTCCTTTAATGACTAACATTTTATGTCATAAAGAATTGTAGGTCTCACATCATCTTATAGATTTTTCCCTCAAGCTTGAGGGGTACTTTGTTTCCACACAATAGGCTTGATGCATTCATCCACCTCAACCATCCAACATGAATTCTACTAATAATATCACCATATATTTCACCATCACTCTGGACAATAGACTCGAGTTATCTAAAGCATGTACTCTTATTAATGATTTGATCCCCAAAAGTTATATTCCCCCCACTAGATCTATTTCTACTAAAATTACACTCCATGTATTTGGTTTTAGATATAATCAAACAAAAACATTTAGACCCTAAGGTTGACCTCCATACTTCTAATTTACCTTCAACTACCTCTCTTGTCTTATCAATAGAAAAATATCATTAACAAAAAGCATACACCAAGTTGCATCCTCTTGCAAATGTGTAGTAAGAACATCCATGATTAAAGCAAAAAAGTGGGCTTAAAGCTGATCCATGATGTAATCCAACTGAAATAGGAAAATACATGGTCAAACAACCTTCTGTATAAACAGAAGTAACAGCTCTTGCATACATATCCTTAATGATGTGAATATAAACATAATTAAATCCTTTATTTTCTAGAGCTCTCCATAGCATTTCTCTTAAAGTTTTATCATAAGCTTTCTCTAAATCAATAAATATCATATGTAACTCCTAGTTATTCTCTCTATATTTCTCCATCAGACCTCTCAATAAATGTATAACTTCCATAGTAGACCTACCCGACATGAATCCACATTCAAATTGATTTTGAGAAAATTTGAAACGCATCATAACAAATAAAATAAACAAAATTCATTTCATTTGATTTACATATAACCAATCAACTTATTCATTTTTAAAAATTGCATGTATTTACTTTTCATTGTATTTAAAATTCCTCTGAGTTCCAAATTCCTACTACATTATAACCACTAAATCAATATAAGCCTCAGTCCTTATATTTCCAACACAGTTGATGATCAAGGTGCTCTATTCTATAATAGCACCACAAATGAGAATGCTAGAGAAATAAGTAGCAAAAGTTTTCCGACTTGATCCTCGATTCCGCTGAATGTGTTGGGTGCATTTAAAAGTTTAAATTGCATAGTATGAGTTTTCCATCATCGTCATGGATAATCATGAAATGTTGGTATCCATTTTTAAATCAAAAGTTGAAACAAATGATGATTCAATCACCACTTCAAGCACATTATGTTGGCAATGATTAGGAAATCTATACATAATTATGTTTTTTCTAGCTCTATTATTAATCGTATCCATCAGGATCCATCTTTCTTTGATGTGAGTGTATGAACTACACTTGGGCTAATACTCTCTCTGATGAGCCTTTAGACAACAAACAATCAAATTGTCTTTAACATATTAAGTCAGGAAGATTAGGTAAAACCAAATCATAGTCATGTTGAAATTGGCATGTTTAAGCCTGATTGAAGTGAGCTTATCAGCTGGTTCCTCAGGATGTCTACATAGAAACAATTTTGCAACTCCACTAGGTGTTGAGTTCTGTACCAATCGAATATCAACTCCCAAATCTTGACCTTCTTTTACGCTTCATTTTGGGATAACAATTTTCAATTTGGGTGGAACACAAGATTTAGGATGGTGCTAAGGTGATTGTAATAAATGTTAAAAATTGGTTGTTTGCAGGTTTGCACATAACGTTCATGGAAAAGGCCTTACGGAGTAGGACTCCTTGTTGCTAGCTTGGGTGAAACTGGAGCCCATCTCTATTACAATTACCGAAGTGGAAACTATTTTGAGTACCAAGCTTTTTGCGATTGGTTCACGCTTCCAAGCTACAAAGACCTACTTGGAACGTAGATTTAACAAATTCGATAAGTACTCCCGTGAAGAATTTGATCAAAGATGGACTCTTTTCTATCAAGGAGACGGTGCAAGGTGAAAAGCTGACAAGTGCAATCTGCACGGTTGCTATTGTTGGGGTTGGGGAACCATTTCATATCATTAATCAACAGGAAATTTAGCAAGTTATCCAGTCCCTTGACATTATGGAAGATGATCAGGCTGCTGTTGCTTCTGTTGCTACAGAATCTTCTTCTGAAGAACCAAGTGTAGCTCAAGAACTGGGGGCAGCACCAATGGAACTGTTGTAAAATTGAGATGGTATTGAGGTGGAGAGACGCACCGGATAGAAACTTTGCTAGTGACATTTAGGATCAATTATTTATGATGCTTCATTTTTTTTATCTTTCATCTTAGGGCTAGTAGTTTGGTACTCACAGTTGAGATTCTCTCAATTTATTTGGGGAGACTGGATTTCTGACTCTTTTTTTAAGGTTGGAAGCCAAACCATCATGTTTTTTCTTTAGATTATTTGGATCATATTGTCCAATAATTGGCATCCTCTACCACCCAAATGGCTAAAGGTAAATGTAGATGCTTCTCTACTTTCTTCCAACAAAGCAGGGATAGCAGCTGTTTTCCGAGACAGCAAAGGGAGATTTCTTTATACTTATGATAGATCGTGCACTCACTGGGACATAGCTCAGCTAGAACTATTAGCTATTCATTCTCTAAATGATGAGATAAAGGATTGGATGTTCAAATACAAAGGCATCATCATTGAAGGAGACAACTCAAATGCCATTTCTTATCTTCAAAAAGCTCAAACGAATGAGGGTATGGGTTTTTTACAAAATTTCATTTTTGTCATTTTTAATTGTATAAGTCGTGATAACAATGAGTTAGCAAACATGTGTGCTAATTATGCTTTATTTAGTAGTTTTAGTTGGGATGAGTTGTCTTTGAATAAGGTTCCTCCTCCTTTTTTTTAACAAATTGAAGGAGGAATCATCTTTGTAGTTTCTTTTCCTCTTCTTTTAATATATTAAGCTTTGACTTTTTCTTCAAAAAAAAAAATTGTCATCGTGGGAAGCTTTTGAATTTTTATAAATATAATCTTTATATGATTTGCACTATCAAAATTTTTACAGTATGATTTTAGACATTGATGTAGCGGAGCAAATTTCCCATGCTATAGTTTAATTGATTTGGCAACCAAATGGAAACTTTTGATAGTTTTTTTTAGTGATGGCTGTATTTTCACATGTGTTTTATAGGTAGTTATCGACTCGATGAGGATGCTTGCCCTGAAGGATTTCTTTGGAGAAACTCGCATGGGACCGTTAAAAGGAACTCATCTAAGGAAATCAATGAGCTTTACTTACCCAAACCTATTGAGGAGCTCACCTTACACAGGGTGAATTAGAGATTCTTTATCGAATCACCACTTCTTGTTACCCCACTCACTTGCCCTTCCCTAGATCATTCAAGTTCGCCTAGCTCAACTATATGAGAGTGCTTGTTCAACGAACTTCTCATATAGTTTTGTTTATATTGTCTGGCTTTAAGCTCTTCATTAATAGCATATATCACTTGCTTCTCTCATGCACTCTCAATTCTTACATAGGTTTTAACTCTTTTGGTGGACATGCTAGTTGGGTATCATCAATGGGTAAATTCAGATTCAACATCCACTTAGGTACAATGAGTATAGATTTATGCCAATGATAAGAAGAAAGGCCCAACCCAATGAGTGACTTTCATAATAGCCCTCAGTAAACATTGGGAAGGCTGAATTCATTGCATATATGACCTGCATAAGATGATAGAGCGAATCATGAAGATAATCTAAGATGCTTTGGGTGGCCTCCAAGAGTGAGTGTGAGTTGACAGTGCCCTTGAGGGATCATCTAACTCAAGAGCTCATCGTAGGTGCCCATAGAGAAAACTAACCTTAACCCCAATACTTGATTACACTTGCACACAGTGACAAAGAAAACATTCCCCAAGTTAGATATACCAAATGAGATGAGCTTGAACTTACTAACACCTTCTCTAGGGCAATTATTGAGGAGAGGTTGCTCCTAAGTTGAATATGATTCACTTGTAGTCACACAAATGGCAAGGTTAACCTCACTAATTGTGTGGTGACTTTTGAGTTGATAACCTCTTTACTAGATGTGGTTGATGCTCTTAGTTTTGACTTTTGTTCACCACAGTTAAGTAGTTAGCGTGTAGATGGTCTCATATGCCCCTCAGAGCGGCCACCTCTTTTGTTGAATTCAAATAATTATTTGTCACTCAATTCACGAGAACCCAAAAGCCTCAGAAATGATCACAAGCTTTACTAAATATAAGAAAGGAGCCATGTGAATCGCCTAGATGCCTATGCTACATTGGCCCAAGAACTAAGAAAGGGGTCCCTTTAGGCATGCACTCGGCTGCTGACCTCATTCTTTTTTATGTAAGATCAAAATTGTAAATAAGAATTCAATCTTGGTTTTCAATTCATTTAACTCCATTTAGAATTCAAATTAAAAATCCAAATCTAAATTCAATATAAAAAATCAAATGTTCAAATACAAACCTCAACACCCCTTATACTTTTATTAGTTTTCAGGGAATTTTTAAATCAATCAAAACCCTTTTAAATGACCTTGGAAACATATATTGATCAATTGCATATTGATTAGGCATCTCCTTAGGAACTACCAAAACCAATTTGCTTGTATTTTTGGTCCTCCAAGCCCTAAAAGTATTTACCAAGGTTGCAAAACCTTCAAATATTTATAGCCTATGCTGTTAAATTTTACATCTTTTGAAAAATTACCTTGGGAGCCTCCCAAAACTAGTGATCATGTTTATTATCATTGTCATGATGTATTGAACCTATATTGAACCCTGGGTGGGCCATAGCTGACCATGAAACCCAAGAATATCATAACCACCAAAATAAAAATTTTCAAATACCTCTACAACTCATCCAAATCAATCCATAAAGTCTCATCCAATATACTTTAAATGTTATTTAAAGTGTATTGAATCCAAAACCAAGCTATTGTCAAGCTAGGTTGATTATTTAACCATGATTGATCAAATGAACTAAAAAAAACTCAAAAATACATTTTGAACATAGAGACCTCCCCATGACATGAGGCCACTTTAAACAAGTTCCAAATGTCATTTGGAATCTGTTGGACTCAATCCCAACCCCTGGTCAAATCTTGTTGACCAAGTCAACCTAAGTTGATTAAACACACTTCAACCTAAATCCATTGTAAACACATTGACCCAAGCTTCACCAAATCCCATTGAACTATTGAGACTATCCATAAGGTCCTTAGGAATCATTCCTAGGTGACTTAACCTTTGGGCCCACTTGGGCTAGCCTCTAGGCTTGACCCAAGTGATTAAAATCACTTCCCATTGAATTAAATTCCATCATAATTAAGTTGGCCCAAACCAAGATCTGTATTGCATAGCCCTTGGTCATGTGCATCTGCCTTGGCTAGCCCAGCTCATGTGTTGACCTGGCTGACCTAAAGTCTCAAAAATTAATTTTCTATAGTCATCTTTTATGACAAGGCTTCACCCTGGGCAACTGGCTCTTTCATTGTGCATAGGAAGCTTCCAAATAGCTACTAGCTCAACCTTCCATTATGTAGTGGTTAGAGCTAGTTGAAATTTCCAGAATGCCCATGTGATCCATGGGTTCAATTCAAACCCTCTCCTTATGTGCCCTCAAGCTTTGATAAGTCTCTGGAAACCCTCTTGAGGTTGCAAGTGACAATCCCAACCCCGCCTAGTAGCCTGATGGAGGCTAAATTAAGCCAATTTCTTGGCCATGTGCATTTTTGAAATATATAAATATCTTTGATTTTCATTAAAGAAGGGTTGCCTTTACTTTCTTCTTATATAACATACATATTTTCTTTTTTACTATGTATGCTAAACTCTCACAAGCTAGAGGAAAACAAGGGACTACCTAATCAATGGGGCTCAGCTTGCTATTCTTGTTGGTATAAGGCCATTATGCTACTGAATTTTCTTATAAATTTGGTAAATATATAGATTGCATTTGCTCATATAAAAAAAAGATGTTAGGAAAAAATGCTTTGAAAAACATTAGAGGTGAATTTAAAGCCCTTGCATATTTAACAATCCTTGATTATAACTTCTAGCCTATAAATCCATTATTTACTAAATAAATAATAGCCCGCCTATCCTAAAACTATACAAACCTAAATTCATGGTTTTAATGTGCTTAGGTGATTTGGTAGGCATTCCACTCTAGGCAGTTGTAAGTCTAGTGCTTGTTAGGCCTCCTTATGAATTCTTTTATGGTTTAAAGGTATAAGCTCCAACATGCAAATTCCAATAGTTCATTGACTATGATCAATATGCTATCATATAATAGTTCACCATAGATTTAGAATTCAATGTAGACTCCAAAACATTAGTCCTCATCCTTTGGGAATGATCCCATCATTCTAAGAAATTGTCAATTTGAACATAAAATTTTTATCCTGCCCTAAAATGGTAATGCTTAATCATAGAATAGGTTAGAATTCTTCTGAGTTTCTCAATATCATAGTATTGTCAACCTTTCAGCCTGTGATTCTAGAAAGAATTGACCATTTTGAACGGATCCTTATTGATAAATTCTTTGTCATCAATCCTTACCTAAATCCATTATCATTTATGAAGAGTTATTTTTGACATGCAATTAATTAAAGGCTTGCCTTTAAGGAGAAATTATAACCCTAACATAAAATAAATCCTATTTTAGTTCTCTAAGATACGCCAAAAGTCTAAGGGATCATAGATAATTTTTCTTAGAATATTTTTTATTTTTGAATCGATGGTAGAATATCATTTCTTTCTTTTAAGAGAGTATCCTATTTTTTATACTATATTTGATTATAAAAATTGAGAATTCTATTTCTATTTTCTAAATTAATAATCAAACACCACATTTATCATTTAGGGATGATATGTTGTCCACATGGATTTCTAATTTTTTTTTCTTATTATGCATTTTATATATCTTCTTATTTAATGTTGCTTAATAGAAGATTTTGATTTAATCAATTAAAGTTACGATTTAAGTTTATTTCTTTAATTTCTTACTAAATTTAATTTTTCTTACCTTCATGTTTCATTATGAATTCAATGCATTTTAATTTATATTTTCCTTCTTTTTAATATTTAATTATGAAATTTTAAAATTAGTCGTGATGTCAGGGGTTTCTCATGATAGGTCAAATTAGGGTTTGATGCCTTACCCTTCAAAAAACTCAAAATAACATAAAATTTAAACTTTAAAGCATTATTAACTTAAGGATAAATCCCTAAATTGTTGAGACCATTTGGAAGTGGCTTGAATTATAATAAATTATTAATTGTGGATCTCCCTTTGGTTTTACTCTCGTTTATATTGGATTCTTTAAATATAAATGTTATGTTTTTTTTTGGTATTCCCTGATTAAATACGAGTTCAATGGAGGAGGGTTTATATTTTTATGATTTTAACAATTATTTATGGTATTTTAAAAATTAGGTTGCACAATTAAGTTTTCCTTAAGAAGTTGGAATAGTGTGTTTTAATTTGGCAAACCAAAACAATTCAAATTTTCTTTACATTTTAACTTTAGATAATTATGAATCTTAGGTATAATCACTAAAAATTATAGGACATTTGAATTTATATTTTAATTTTCATAATTTATTCAAATGATTTTATAATTTAAATTTATGGAATTATAAAGGATTATTTTAAGCATTAAGAGATGCTACATTTATTTTTAAAATTTATAGTGAATTTAGGTTCCAATAAAAATTTATTTTACATATGTATAATTTTTATATAATTATTGATAAATTTTCAAAGTTTCATTGCAAATGGTTTAACCTAGAATGGTTTTGAATTAGTATTTGTTCATTTTATAATCAAATGGTTTAAACTCTTATGGAAATAATTTCATATGTCACTAACCACCTTAAGACCATCACATAAAATTTCAACCCATTCAAGGAGAGGTGAAAATTTTAAAATTATTTGAGTTTACTAGACCTACAAATAAAATGATTTTATAATATATAGATTTAAAGCAGATGGGTTCAAATCTATTTCCTTTTAACATAATAGCATTACAAACACACCATAAAGATTTCAAACCAAAATAGTTTTTGAATTCAATAGGAAAAAAAAAATAGATTAAATGCCAATTAATAACCTATAGTTTTGAAAATTCCATGAAGGGTAAAGGATGCTTCAAACACACTTGAGAAAAATTAAGGATGTCTATAGCATCCGAAAGTTTACAAAGGTTAGTTTAGGTACCATTAAAGGTTATTAAGCATGATAATTACTTAATTAATCCTTTATAGATAAAACTTAATTCATTATAAATAATTAAATAAATTAACATGAATATAATTTTAGTAAATTGTGCATAAGCTATTGCATGTCATAAGCAAGAGAGATAAAATGGGCATATTCATTCAACACACCCTCTTTCCCAATAAATGTTTTTTTGTTTGGGCTCCCAACAATCTCCTCCACACTTCCCACGTTGAACCCAGTTAGTCAAACCTC